GCACTTCACAGTTAGCGAATTTCATTGCTTCCTTCTTGCATTCCTCAAGACTCACACTACAACAGAACCTGCATTAGTTTTATGGATTAAAAATGAACGTCATCGGTGAAATTCTTAATGATCAATTAATCGATTGTCGATTAATTGATCATGCCCGTCCCTAGTATGCAGAATCTGATTTAATGTGTGTCTGATTTCTGGTCACACGTTTCATTCTTTCTCTGATTGGACAGCTGCTCGTGGTCCGGGTTATGGCATGCTGTCCATTCGCGTGGATGGTAACGATGTGTTTGCTGTGTACAATGCTACAAAGGAGGCGCGCCGCAGGGCTGTGGCTGAGAACCAGCCCTTCCTCATTGAAGCAATGACCTACAGGTTTGTGTCTTCTGCTTTTTCCCAGCACGGCATGAAGTTACCCCTTTTAGCACTGACGGCTCCTCACAATGCTGAATTTCTAATCGCTTATCGTTGGAAAAATAACGAGAATTATTTCGTTTTTCTTTTTATACCTAGAAATGTGTAAAATGACATTTGTTTAATCACCAGTGTAGGTTTTTACTGTGCCATGATTAACATGAAAAGATATTCTGTCAAATGATCTGAATTTAACCAACTGTGAGTTCAGAGCATTAAACCTGAGTACACTATTAAGCAGTTCACTGAAACATTTTGAACTAATTACAATGGCCTCATTTTACAAACCGCAGTATGTTCTTGTAAATGAGGTCAACTGGATGATCACTGTTTAGGCAGACCTGTGTGAAACCGACTGAGCAACCACCTACTGCAGTTAAGGGGAGCTAGAGAAGGCGGCTTGGGTTTTTGGGTGTAGCATTTGTTTGTCGTGGGCAAACTGCTACGTGAACCACAACCGTCGTGCATCTGCAGTTTCTTTCTACATATTATGTGAACTGGTACTGCTTTAGTGGAAAGTCATAAACATTTAAAAAAGAGTAATTAGTAACTTAATTAGTGAGTGCATAAACTGATAAAAGGTGAGCCATTATAGAGGAATTGTAAGCAAGCAGAAAATAGTGTTTCTCTTTTCATATTAAAAGAGACAGCACAGAAAGAACATGAACAAATACAAGCTTTTAAATCCTCCCAGCAATACTACAACCACATCAGCAAAATACAAAAAGGTCAATATTGACAAACAAAAATAAGGAAGAAGATAAACAGCTGGAAACAAAATGGAACAAAACGTCTATCTGATGTGGTAATCGAATACAGTTCTCGTTTTGTTGTCTGTGGTCATTACAGCAGCGGCTCGCTGCACTGAGTTGTCAGTCCTATCTGTTGTGTCGCACAAGTTAAGATCAAAAGGTAAAAATAAGAGTGGAAAGTAAATTACAAGTACAAGTACATTTTATTCAAAATTTACCTCGTTCAGTGAGATGTTGGGGAAGATAAAAGAGTAGGTGGAGGGTTGATTAAAAGTAGATCTGTGAATTATACTAAAATATTAATAATACATGCACTTATCTGTAAGCTTTAATCTATCTATCTATCTATC